GAGAGAGAGAGAGAGAGAGAGAGAGAGAGAGAGAGAGAGAGAGAGAGAGAGAGTGGTGAAGGTGAGAGAAATGGAGAGAGAGAGAGACAGAGGTTGGTTCTTTGCTGTGGCAAGAGAGATGCTAACTGCTGAGAGGAGATTGAGTGGTGCTAATGTGAAGAGAGAGAGAAGGGGGTTGTTAGGTGACTGTTTTGAGTGGTATGAGAGAGAATACAAGGTGAACAGTTGGCAGATTCGACATGACGTTGGAGAGAATAGAGAGAGAAATGGAAAAAACAGTAGTGGACGTCAATTTTGTCCAGGCTTATCCTTGCCGTTGGACGTATTTCTACACCATACACGAGTGTGCTGATTCCATCCTTTTCCTAGATATATATATATATATATATATGGAAGCATCTACAAAATGCCTACAGGTGAAGTTCTACAGTACTTCACCTACACCTCATTACCGTCCAAAGTTCATCACACTGTCCTAGTTGTTCTTTAGTAGTTGAATTTTTTTAATTATTGTACTAATCAGATTTATCTAAAATTTGGGCTTGCATACATATGACCAAGTCGCACCAAAATAAAATATTAAAAAAATAATAGTCATAAAATAAAATGACAAAATTACCCCTTAAACTTTATAGGGGTATTTTGTGTAATTTTTATCATTTAAATTATTTGTTTTATATTTTATTCATGTGCATCTCTCTAAGGTGCACACACCTACAAAATTTCAGATCATTATGATTTGTAAAAAAAATATTAAAATTCAAAAATTATCAAACATCTGTGACCGTGTGATGATTGATAAACTTTGAACGGTGATACAGCCGTAGGTGAAGTATTGCAGAACGTCACCTATAGGTGTTTTGTAGTGTTTTTCTACATATATAGGGTTATGTTAGGATACTCGTGCATATGAGTATTTATTTAATGTACTTAATATTTTTGGACACTCAATACCCTCACCTCACTATACAGTAACCTTGTTATCTAGGGGTATTTTAGGTAATTAATCAGGGGTAAAATAAAATTTTTAACAGAAAGAAGAGCTTTTATTAACTATATTAGATGATGAAATCATTGTGACCTCACCCACATAGGAGCAATGATTGTTTTTTAACCACTAATAAATGCCGTTAGTTTCTTTTAGAAATATCTATTCTACTCCTAATGACGAATACCCTTATTAGTATTATAAAACATGAGTGTCTAAACAAAGTTGAGTATATTAAGAAAATACTCATGTGTGAGTACCCTAACATAGCCCTATATATATATATAGGGATTGTCTACAAATAGACCATTTATCTTTTGTACATGGAGGTCACAATCATTCCCACTCATTAGATGTTAAATTGGATGCCTAGGGGTGAGTCACGAAGTCCGAGGATTTTTTTCTTGGAAATTTGTGTCTATTAAATGACACTTTTACAACCACCCACTTTGAATTGTTACCCCCATGTACAAAAGATGATGGTCTCTTTATAGACAATCCCATATATATATATATATATATATATAGATATTCTTACATGTACTCTGTTTTTGGTTTTGTATTGTGTGATTATGTTTGACGAAAACATTTGGACCTTCAAGATGAACTGTTGTACTCATTAAATTTTGTGTTTGTTAACTTGTTCTGTAATGCAGATTTACACACATGAAGAATCAAACCAGCATTCAGGAGCACTAGTTTTCTTGCTTGGACACCTCCTCTCTAGCATACCTTTCTTATTTCTCATCTCTATTTCCTCATCCCTGCTCTTCTATTTCTTGGTTGGCATGAGGAATGAATTCAGCTTATTTATGTATTTTGTGCTGAATTTATTCATGTGCCTCCTAGTAAATGAAGGCCTTATGATGGTTGTCTCTTCAATTTGGTTAGAAGCATTCAAGGCTATAGTAACCATGGTTTCCATACAAGTAAGTAGGGCTTAATTTTCCCGTATTGACTGTCGTAGGTATTGACTGTCGAACTTGATAAAGACGAGCTTCCATTTCGATACATTGTTCATGGCTTTTTTACTCTCTGTTTTGTTTTCTAAGTATGATTTTTATTTCAGGTGTTGATGATGCTTGTGGCAGGGTATTTTAGACACCAAAATGACTTCCCTGTACCATTATGGAAATACCCTATGTCATATGTTGCTTTCCACACGTACTCTATTCAGGTAACTATAGTTTATGGTAATATGTTTAGGTGAAAAATAGGTGAACACGTCATCTGGGTCTTGAGTTCTTTCTTTCTCGCCCTCTTATGTCGATCCAATGTTGTAGGGTCTCTTGGAGAATGAGTACATTGGGACCTCCTTTGCAGTTGGGCAAGTAAGATCCATTACCGGAGTTCAGGCTCTTCGTGGTATATACAATATTCCTCCTGATGTCAATGCAAAATGGTCAAATCTACTGATCTTGTTTCTAATGGCGATTTGCTACCGTATCATCCTTTTTGTTTTGCTCCGATTCCATGTGAGGCAAAGGTTGGCTTCTTGTAGATTGTTTGGACTCAAAAGATAATGAAGAAAGCAATGTAAATCCTTGGTTTTCTCTTTTTCTTTGTTCGTCTTTTTCTTTTTTTCTGTTTTGGGTTTATCCCTGTTTTTGGATTCATTCTTTAGCGACAAATATTTTTGCGATAATGTGTGGAAATTCTGACTTGGGGCACTTGGCAATTGTATCTCAAGAAAGCCAAAGTCCCCCCTTCTTTTGAGTTTTTTAGTTATACATAGTTGGCTAACAGGCAGGGGAAACTTAATTTTTTCCACCCATCAAAGTCTTCTAGAAGTTTAGTTAGTAGGGGCTTCTAGAATGAATGCCCTAGCTTTGTTCCCTTCTTCTCTACCCTTGAAACTCAAAACTCTCTACCCAAACCCAACAAAAGTTCATGGGCTCTCTCTACTCTATATGCGAGTCCAAAAACCTAAGCTCTCATTTCCTGTACCTTTCGAACCTATAAGCCAGAGGTATGGTTTGTGCAGAAAGAGAAAACAGAAGGCATTTGGATTGAGTTTGGACGGAGTTTTGTGCAATGGAGAGAGAGAGAGAGAGAGAGAGAGAGAGAGGAGGAAG